AGAAAAAAAGAACGCGGAACCTGACGTTGGCGCCGGACACAAGTCGAGCGTTTCCACGTCTTGACGTCCGGACGTCTCGCGTCAGAGCGACTTGTGCCACCGCCAACTCTTAATTTTTGCAGCTGCATTCGCCTTTTCATAATTCCTTTTTGTTTTGTCTCCGTATCGAGCACTGACGCTTGAAATTTTTGTTCCAGGTGGCGCCCTAAAATTCTACCTCGTTGCCAGAATCGTGTCACTTTAAGGTAAGTTACAATTTTGAAGAATAATTTAAATATACTGGGAAAGAGTGGCTTGATTTAAGCAGACATATTTTTCTTCCGCCCTCCCCCTTTAACCCCTCCTCTACCCCCTTATCTCTTTTGCATTTTATTTTCTTTAAGCAGAGAACTAAAAGCAACAGTTTGACGCGAAATTTTGTAAGCATATCCGTCATAGTCAAGGCAAATCTCACTGACAGTTCTGAGGCGTTCATTTTTTCTCTACCTGAAGAAAAATGAAATAAAATAAATTTTTGGAGATGATAAGAAAAAGGATAATGCAATTAGTTGATTTTTAACAACCCTTTTGAACCGCGAATAAGAAAGAATCTGCCTTTATTAACAGGAAGGTTACCTATAATATAATGCAGAGCTCTTGTTTCAATATATTTTATTCTTAATTCAAGCGGTATTCTTCGTGACGGAAAAATCAGAAATATTTCTGCTTTAATTGAGTCACTTTTCGCATTGTAGGATGGATTTCAGTAAAATCAGCTCAACTAAATCTAATCTCAGCTTCCTGACCACATGCCCTAATTTTCTTGGATCTTTAAAATCATTGACGCAGTTAGAAAAAACGTACAAAAATTCACAAATTTCAAAAGAGAACTCTTAAATTGTGTCCAAATATAACAATAAATGCAGTTAAATATGATTACGTTGGAGATTAAAGTAAAATTTATGAGAAAGTTGATCGTTGAAATCCTTATAGGGGCCTAAAATTTCCCCTAAAACGAAAAAGATTCATTGATACCTGGCGTGATTCATCAGGCAACTCTACGTCGGTACAAGTTATGAAATACGCGTACGGAGACAGAACATCATAGCAGCTCAATCGAGGGCTTGGAGGACAAGGCGCATAAGTTCACTTTTTGCTGCTTCGTGAATTTATGTTCGAAGCTTCGAAATCACACGGATCCTTATGGTAGGAAGAAAGTTCAAACTGGCTAATTAATGCATAAAAATTGGAACTCGAGGGCGAATTTTCCGCCAGAATATGCATTAAGACTTGCTTTACTTAGAAATCATCAATATTTAAATTTTTTTGAATACTGCACTTGCTTGCCTTGTCCTCCTAGCCCCTCAATTTTAGTTCAAGAAATAGTCGAGGAAGTGTTCGACAATTATTACAGAAGTATTACAACCGATGTGCAACCCGAAAGGAACTCCAATAAGGCGGGGCCGAAGTTTTATTGTCTCGTGTAGGTTGCATTTCCTGTCTCTCCGCGATGACGGTATGCTTTTAAATATAGGCGAACCGAGTTCACAATATTGGACTCACCGATCTATTTCTGGAATCGTAGAGCGGTCTCCGACCGAATTTTTATGATTTTGCGGCTCAGAGGTATTAGTTTCTGCTCTTTATGATTTCTTGGTCCTGGAGCCGCGACGCGGCGGCGGTTCGTATCTAAAAGTGGGTCGGAGATCGAGCGGCATAGAATTTGAGGAACTGCTTAGTTTTACCTATTTTAAAATAGGAGGAAAAAAGGAAATCATGGTGACGTGTAAATGTCATGTTTAGACGGAAAAATTGCATTCCTGTTCTACCTTAAAATTCTAGAATTGAGGGGCTTGGAGGATAATGCGCATAAGTGCAGTTTTTGCTATTTTGAGAAATTCGTGTCTAAAGTTTCGAAATTACATGGATCCAAAGTAACTTTTTGATGCCTCAAAATGGAAATTTGGGAGCGAATTTTTCACAGAATGTGCATTGAGACTAGCTTAACTTAAAATCATTGATGTATCAATTTTTTTAAAAACAGCCTCTTGTCTTCAATTTTCCTTCATTCAAGAGGGTAGGCAATATGCGTTCTCAAGAGTTTGAATAGTGGTATCAGGTTTGGTCTTGTTTAAACGTGTTGACAGTGGTTTTACCCTAAACAGAAAAGAGTGAGGATTCACCCCATAGATTTATCTCTAAAATATAAATTCGCACTGGAGATTTTGAAACACCGCAACCAAGAAATGCCCTTTCTGCACCAAAAGCCTCGAGTTTGCTAGTGGTGCAGCTTCTTGTCTTCAATTTTCCTTCATTTCAAAGGGTAGGCAATATGTGTTCTCAAGAGTTGGAATAGTGGTATCAGGTTTGGTCTTGTTCAAACGTGTTGACAATGCTTTTGCCCGAAACAGAAAAGAGTGAGGATTCGCCTTAGATTCATCTCTAAAATGTAAACGAGCACTGGAGATTTTGGAACACCGAAACCGAGAAATGCCGTTTCTGCACCCAACGCCTCGATTAAAATTGCACATGGAGTGTGTAGACACCTCGTGATCCTGACGAGTAAGAATTAAGAAGAAATGTTTTTCCCTCGCGAAATTCCATCCCGTTTCGCATTCCCACGCGCAGATCCGCGTCGATACTTGGTCTCCCGGGTCAAAGTCAGAAGCCTCTCAAGAACGACAAAGTAGTAACAGATACTGTTGTTGGAGCTCCTTCGGCAGTTCAGTTCCCGCGACTCGATTGTTGAATCGATATCGAATGACCATGATCGATAAAAAACATTGCTAAGATAGGGATTTATCGATCAGGATCGTTCGACAACAATGCAACAATCGTTCCGCCGGAGCCCGCCCCCCGGGATCCACCTTGCGTCCCATCCCAAAGTTTGCCTTAGTTCTGCTACATACGCAACAAGCATACCACGAATTGTTATTACCTCGGAAACCTCATATTAATCTCGGTTCATGAATGGACTGTTCTGCATCGAATTGCACAGTTTTTTTTTAATAAAAATTATCTAACCGATAAATTGAGGGTCATAGGGAAAGTCAGGGAATCGGAAAATTTTGGAGTTAGGGAAAAGTAAAATTAGTCAACAAAAAGACAGAAAAGTCGGGGAATTTGGAGATGAAGAAATTGTGGCAACCCTGAAATGTCCATATCATCCAACAACCCCGGGCTTTTCGTCCATGCCCGAATCAATCTCGCACCAGGTTCAAAAATTCATAAATCCGGCAATAACCTAAAGGCCCGTTCTGCCGTGCTAAGGAAAAACGGTGTATGAATATTCGAGAGTTGCCAAATTTTCCCAAGGAAAGTTATGAATATTTTCCCTTAAAATTCTCAGGTATTTCAGACCAAATCGCGAACAAAGTCGTCTGAAAAATTTGAATCAAAACACTCAAAAATGTTCTAGTAAATTCGGTTTTTATCGAGGGCAATCTGGCAACGCCTGAAGGCTCATACGGCGTTTTCCCTAGTGCGACAGCATTTTACCTGGGATGTAACCCGATCTCGGCAAAAGAGATCTTCCCCGGTGGCTCGACGCGGAACGAACGTCAGGGAAGAAAGCTGTGTTAATTTAAAAGAGAGCACGAGGCAGGTCGGAAATTAATTCGGCCGGCAGGTTGAGCCTCTCGCGTTACCGCGTTACCGGCGCGTTTCGCCTCATCAACGACCCGACCGGGGCCGACCAACCCTGAATCTGTCACTCCGGACACTCGCTAACGCGCGCGGGCAAAGTAAACCAGGAGGATTCATAATTACAACCGGGATTCCTGAATATCTGCATTTGCCGCCTCGCGCCTGCTCCGGGGAAATCGCCACCAGTGGATTTTAAGATTTTTGTGCGAAAACAACATATGTGGAATGTATTTTAAATGGAGCGTACGTTGTTCTTGTGGAGGAATCGCGACCGGTGCATTTGAAGCATTTTATTGAAAAACAACATGACTGCAATTTATTTCAAGTGAGGTGTTCGTTTTTCTTGTTGGGAAATTGCAACCAGTGTATTCGAAGTATTTAATTGAAAAACAACACGTGTGCGATGTATTTTAATCGGAGCACCCGATGTTTCTACGTTTACGTCAAAAAGGTGCCTAGAGCGAAGAAAACGAGATGAAAGAAAGACGCTTAAGTTTCGTATTGAGCTCTGCTGCGAGTTTGCCTTTTTTAAACGTTGGTTCAGATATTTTTTTGAAAATTTTTGAAAAAATGCGATACGTGCGAAAATTTAGGTGCGCGGTCCAGTTCTCGACGGAATATAAGTTTGGCAGGAAGTGTGTAGCGTTGCAAACGGAGATACGCGGTTTCACACTTTGACCATCGATTTGGCAACCTTTTCTAGCGTGGTGCAAGCATCACACGCCGTGCGGTAAGCTTGTACCTTGCAGAGCTGTGCGAATCGTGCCGGTGTCGGTACAGACGAGGCTCATAAATTAGAAATCCTCCGAACAATTAGAAGTGCTTGAATTCCGGTATCAGTCCGCCGCGGTCATGGCGAAATTCTAGCGCATCGTGCCGTTTTCAGATGAGCCGTTGACTGCAGAAATAGCCTAACTCGGCGTCACGATCGAACCGGGGTGGATCCTTTTCCACGCCTCAACGCACAGGGTGACTCATGAAATGATTTCACAAGTCCAATCTTCGAGTCAGAATGAGACTTTAGTATCGTAAAGTCGACCACGAGTGAACGGGTATTTGAAGAAGGGCGTAACCGCAAAATGGGCCTGTTGCAAACTTCAGCTAGAGCCGAAAGATGAGTTGTCTCTACACTGGGGGAAAAAAAAAAAAAAACACTTTGGATCTAGAGTCCAGACTCTTAAAAACATCGACAAGAAAAAATACTCTTGATTCCATCAGATTTAAGCTTAAATCAATAACGCCTCTTAATTAGAGCGGATTTCCTTTTGAGTTAAGCTTAAATCTACGATTGAATCAAGAGTCCCTTTTCTTGTCAATGTTTTCGAGAGTCTGGACTCTAGATCCAATGTGATTTTTTTCCAGTGTAATAAAAAAATGGCTCCAAACACTGAAAAAAAAGTTACAAGCTATATAGACACACCATCAGCTCCGGGCTGAGAGGCCGAAAGTTGCGAGTGCTGGAGCCGTAGCATCGATTGTTGCGGGTGCCATGCCGGGAACTTTCGGCCTCTGAGCCTGGAAAACGGACGGTGTGTCTACATAGCCCGTGAGTACGGTTTCCACGGTCGGAGTTTTTTTTTTAGTTAAATCAAGGTGAGCGCATCGGGAAAGTCCAAATACA